TTTGGGGCCCATTATACTATACTATAATTATAATGAGGATCTAGTAGTATAGGTGATTATTTCGGCCCCTGCATTATCATGTCGTGTTTCTCTTATATGATCGGACTCTTTGGGCGAGCTGCTGCGAGATAACGTGGGTAGTTCTGTAAGTTTTAGCTTCTTTAGACGATCCTGCTTTAAGAGTCCGGCATACTGCTTCAAGGATCCAGAACGGGACGCTAGAAGAGACCTGCCTGCTTAATCTTGAGGGTGTTTGGGTTGAGGGAGCTTGTGGATGATTCGACGGGCCGCTGAGGCCTTTTGAATGCACATGACTGCACCGAGCGTGAAGGTTGGACAGTGATGCTACAAGTGATTGGGGTGGAGTGAATCACTTGTAGCATCCAGGGTCTACGATTTAGAGGAGGTGCAGCGACATGATACGAGACAGCTGTACAGTTTTGTGCCGGTGCTGAGGAGCTCGCACTGCCATTGATGGCCAAGTGCCCATCATCGACATGAGCAAAGAGGGTGCTGCCGCTGGGATCCAAAAGGACAGAGACATGCGGCTGCTATTGGTGTAAACACACGCTGCGCGGCAGTTGGTAGACTTCTCAAAGCCAGCATCGGCAACGGCAAAAGCTAGCGCTGTTACTGGATAATTGCAACCTTTCTGACTCTAGAACTGGAGTGTCCAAGGAGTCCGGCAGCAGCCTGTACTTTAGCCCTGAAGCTGTGAAACAAAAAAGCCTTCTCTATAGCCACAAGCCGCTAAAGAGCCATGTGCGCAGCCATCTGAGGCCGATGCTATCTGGGAAGCTGCGCAAAGTCCAGGTTTTTTCACGGTGACGTGCCTCTGCTGCGCGAATGGTTTAAGAATGGTCGCAATCGAAAATCAGCAGCTAGCAGATCTCTGTCTCTCTCCCCCCGCTCTAAGAAATCATATATATATATATATATATATATCTCTATCTATCTCTCTCTCTCTCTCTCTTTATCGATTTATTTATGCAGCGCTATATACTTCTTCAGGTCGTCATTCACAATTTGTGCTTTCTTTCCGTGTGTGGAAGCGGGTAGCTGCACCGCCAGGGTTCTGCACGAAGGCCGGAACACGCCGAATCTTGCTTCCCAAGCCCCAGCCCTCAACCCAGGGCCCCACTTCCCTGCCCTAAAGCTTGCAAGGGTAATATAGGGTCCTTAATAAATAGAATAGGGCTTGGGGGTATATTATACTATAATTATAATAAGGAAGGTGCCTACATTACAGGGTTTTGAGGATCAAACTTCCAGGGCACAAGCAAGGTGTTTAAAGCTTCAAGGTTGCTATACTCGAAACTAGTAAACCCTAAACCCTAAACCCTAAACCCTAAACCGTAAACCCTAAACCCTAAACGCCGGACCGTAGCCTTGCCGCTTTAGGGTTTAGGGTCCTAAACTCTAAACCCCTAAATGCCTAAACCCCTAAACCCCTAAACCCTAAACCCCTAAACCCTAAACCCTAAACCCTGAAACCCCGAAGTAGAAGATACTCGAAACTGCAGGTCTTCATGATGAGAGGGCTCAGGGATGCCAAGATGTTTTGGGCAGAACCCCTGTGGAGGGGAGCATGGTCCATGCTGTGCACAAGCAAGAGGCTTTAGGGTTTAGAGGTTTAGGGTTTAGGATTTAAGGTTTTTAGGGGTTAGGGTTTAAGGTTTAGGTTTCGGAATTAGGGTTTTTTTTACTGATTTAGTGTTTAGGTTCAGCGTGAAGGGAGTCATCCTAACCAAACAGACGCCCCGGAGCAGTCGCCGTTCCCTAGACATTCGAAACTTACAAAGTCAAGGATCCCTGAAATCAAGGAACCCACAATGGTCAAGCGGGTTTCGGGTTTTAGGGGCAGCTGGCGGACGAGTGGCTAACTACCAGGCGTTCTTGCTTGCAAGCCTGCAGCAAAACTTGGATGTATGACTTGAGTCCAGTAGCAAAAAGGGGATGTATGATTCTTGTGCACCAAAGCTTAAGGAGCCGCGCAGTTCCTGAGCTGTTGACCCCATGCAACCCGCAAGCACGCAAAACCGAAAGTTTCAAACCCGAAGACCCTATCAAGCTCCGTAAGGTTAGCCCGAAACCTTGTTTAAACCTTAAGCGCCTTGAACCATATAAAACCTTTACCTGCTATAGGCTCCATAGTAGTTCATTTTTGTGGTTTATATTTAGGATCCTGTAGGGTAGGTAGTCCCAAAAAAGGGCTACAATGGAGCCTATGAGTAACTAAGTCTAGGACATTTTCAGGTGGGTAGTTACCGATATAGGAGCCTTATAAAAGGTCTCTTATACCTTATGGAAGCCTTATAGAAGCCCTACAAACCCTAAACTCCCCACTTGCAGTTTCCTTAAAAAAGAAAACCGGGACCCTGGAGTCGATGAGTTCATTACCGAGGAATCATGGCATCCCTCTGGAGCTCATCGAGCGCACCTTCGGGAGGCAAGGCGGGCTCTCGAGCATCGGCGCGGATGGGTAGAGCCTACAAGTAGCTAACACAAGGGCCTGAACAAATAGAAAAGGGTTTGGGGGGCACATCACTAACCACAAAAAGGAAACTACTATGGAGCTTGTTTCTCGAGGTTTCGGGGTCTTAGCGACTTTTGGATCCTGACGGGCTTTAAGGGCTTACCGCATAGTATAGCCCTAAACTGCCCTAAACCGTACACCCTCAACCCTCAACCCTATAACTATAGCCTATAACCCTAAACCCTAATTTTTAAAACCTCAGCCCTATAACCCTAAACCCAAGCCCTCAACCGCTTTAGAATAGGGTTGGAGGCGGAAGAGCTTGGGTGTTCGGGCCCTTTTGGAGTTCTGGGACCCATGGGTTGAGCATGTGTCTGGTTCACGGATCTTCGGTGGCATAGTATACGTATAGGCTCCATAGTCGTTTCCTTTTATTGTGTATGGTTTCTATTATTTAGGATCCTAGAAGGCAGTCCCAAAAAGGTTCCTTTCTAGGGATCCATATTACGTATAGTGTTACAAGTGATGTGCCTTTTCTATTTGTTCAGGCTCCTATGTCAGCTACTTATAAGCTCTACCCATAGGCTCCATTGTAGGTCCTTTCTAGGGTTACCTTCTAGGATCTTAAATATAACCACAAACAGGAACTACTATGGAGCCTATAGTTAGGCAGCATCAGCAGCTGCGGGCGGCTCTGCCCGCAACCCCTCATCCTGAATCTGAAATGCTGAAGCCCGGTGTATGCCGTCATAGGTGATAGCAATCCAGGAATCTGAGATTCGGGTTTAGGGCTTATGGGGTACGACGGCTCGGGGCATCTACCTAATACGGAGGGGTTTGGAGTTCACGGTGTAGAAATCTGCATCGCTTCCAGGAAGCTTCCCGGCTGAAACAGCACGAACAATTAAGTTTAGGGTTTAGGGTTTAAGCCTTGGATGATCATAGTACCCCACAGTCCCCCAAGATAAGCTTCGTATAACAAACCTGAACACGATATTTCGATCACGAATGCTCCCATAGGCGAAGATAAAAGCACAACCCTAAACCCTAAACCCTTAAACCTTAAACCCTAAACCCTAAACTTCATTTCAGGCGGCCCTGCAGCCAAAACCTTACCAAAGGGGTTCGCGTCTTGCAACGTCGAGGTGGAGGCGAAATGTCGCTGCTGGTACATCCTTGCACCCAGGCCTGTCAGGTGCCCTAAACCCGAAACCTAAACCCAATTAGAGGGTCTAGTTGTGAGTGCTGAAACCTATTTAGAGGGGCTTAAAAAAGTACCAATACTATTTTGAGGGGTTCCTTCTTATAATTATACTATAATGGGTCCCCAAACCCTAGTATAATCAATAAAAGGCTCCTAAACCCTAAACCCTAAAAGCCCCTATATTATTCCTTAGTATAATTCTTAAGGTCCCCAAAATTAGAGTTCCGAGACAGGTCGGCGAAGTTCTTCGATCAAAGCAAGGCGGGACTGGGATCTAGGCCTTCGGGCTGGGGGAATCAGGGTTCAGAGGGGGCTTTTGGGTTTAGGGCTTAGGGTTTAGGGGTTATAGGGTCTAGGGGTTATAGGGTCGTTGAACGAGAAGGCTCTGCACCTGTTGACACGGCACATGCCGCTTCGGGGTTTGCGCGATGTTGAAGGCACATGCTGCTGTTTCCAGCAGAAACTTTCATCCCACGGGCATGCTTCCAGACTTACCCGCCATAAAATGGGGCAGCTGGGGTTGCTGATGAGCCCTTACTTCGAAACTTCTCGGTCCAGAACTCTGAATTGACGGCCGTTCATGCACTGCAGCACCGGCCACCAAGAATACAACAGTCTTACTACGAATTCCTGCAAGGTTAGCGTGTTGGGAGTCACTGAACTTAGCAACTGTGTCCTTTGCTGGCGATCAGGCTTGTAATAGAACCCTATAGGACCCCATTATAGGACCCCTTAAAGGACCCTGTTTTCTAACCTTATAGGACCCATTATATGTATCCTTATGTTATGTAACCCATCTACAGGGCACGCGCCATCTTGGCCGGGGTGGGGCTTGAGGAGTTCAGGTTGGGGCCAGGGGTTTACGCCAATTTCTTTCGTTGCGCGGCTCTATTGGGTTTAGGGTTTAGGGACCCTGAACCCTAAACCCTACTTAGGGTTTAGGGTTTAGGCCCCATAGTGGCTAATCATGGCTCATGGAAGGAGCAGAAGCAAGAGCAAAGCCCTTTCGCCAAAGACTTGAACGCTGGCTACGAGTGCTTTGTCTTTGAAGGAATGGGTGGATGCTGGGGGACGCGAAGCCTGAGGTCACGAGCATCAATTCGACGACTTCTCGGGTTGTTGAATTTTACAAAGCAGAGTAGCAAGTTGGTCATATTGAAGATGTCGCTTGTATTTGGTTCGGCGAAGGTGATGCCATGGAAAAAGCACTTCTTCAGGGATGATTGATGGGTGCCTAAATGTTGGTGATGGTGATGGTGGTGAGGATGACGATGAGGATGATGATGATGATGATGATGATGATGATGATGTGGATGGTGG